CCCTCCCTCCCTATCTATCTATCTATCTGTCTATTTTTTTTGAGATGGAGTATCTTGCTGTGTTGCAGTGGCACGATCTTGGCTCACTGCAACCTCTGCCTCCCGAGTTCAAGCAGCTCTCCTGCCTCAGCCTCCCAGGTAGCTGGCATTTGAGACATGCACCACAAAGCCTGGCTAATTTTTTGTATTTTTATTAGAGTTGGGGTTTCACCGTGTTGGCCAGGATGATCTCTATCTCCTCACCTCATGAACCGCCCACTTCTGCCTCCTAAAGTGCTAGGATTACAGGCATGAGCCACCATGGCCGGCCCGATCTATCCGTTTTTTTGAGACAGAATCTCACTCTGTTATCCAGGCTGTAGTGGAGTGGCACGATCATGGCCCACTGCAGCCTTGATTTCCTGGGCTCAGTTGATTGCTCCCACCTCAGCCTCCCCAGTAGCTGGTACTACAGGTGCATGCCACTATGCCTGGCTAATTTTTTTGTATTTTTTGAGGAGGTAGGTTTTTGCATGTTGTCCAGGTTGGGCTTGAACTCCTGGGCTCAAGTGATCCTCCTGCTTCGACCTCCTACGGTGCTGGGATTACAGAACTGAGGTGTTGTGCCTGGCCCTGGCAAGATATATTAATAAGTGAAAGCAGTTCTTGCTCAGCGGGTAAGAATAATACTTTAATATTAAGTTTCTTAGTTTAAATGAAACCTCTGTTTTCTAAAAGCAACCTGATCATCAGAAAATGAACTACAATTACAGGAGAGCTTCCTAGTTGCTTTAGTAACTAGAGTTACTAGATGGCAAGGGTTAGGGCATCCACAAATAACAAATTACATTTATTCTGTATTTTCTTTCCAGTTGCTTGGAATGTGACTCCTGTGGCAAGACTCCAGCAAAGCTGGAAGAGACTAGTTTTAAAGGGAAGAAGGCACTTTGGAAATGCTTCTGGATAGGATTGGGGAGGTATGGGTGGAGTGGAGTTGAGGGCTTTGCGAAGGCTGAGGGAGGTGAGAGTTGGTGTGTGTGTGGGGCGGGGGGTAAGAATGAAGCCTGGCTTTCCTCATAACTGTGGTGAGAGGAGGCCTGGCAGCTGGAGGTGTTAGCAAGCCCTTTGTCATTCTTATCGTCTCCTTCCTCTGGGTGTTCATCTTCAGAGGAATTGCAGCAAAGTGGACACGAGAGAAGAGTGAATGTGTGTGGCATGTACATGTGTACCATTTTCTTCTTCCTCGTCTTTCTGCCTGGCCAACTTGGACTGGGGGTGGCTAGGGCCGCGGTGGTTAGCGCATGCACATGTTCACATGTGTACCATTTTCTTCCACCTCTTTCTGTCTGGCCTGCTTGGGCTAGGGTTGGTTAGGGTTGAGGCGAGATGCAGAGAAGGTTTGGGAGTGGAAGATTCTGATAGGGAAGTGTCCTAGGCTGGCTGGGAGTAAGAAAGGGAGGACTTCCTTTACAAATGCTTCTCCATGAGTTGATTGCACACTGGTCAGGTGCTGCCTGCACTCTGTTTAGAAGCATTCATGATTATGGGCAGGAATAATGAAAATATATTGAGTTCAGTACTGAGTTCTTGTTCAACTTCATACTTTAATAAAAATGTGCTAGTATATATATTCCCTTCTAAATCTACATTGTCTTCTACGTCTTTGCCTGTTTCTCTGGCTCCTAGCTACGCATGACAGACATCTGGAAAATGCTTCAAAACTAGGCTGTTAGAGATGAATTTTCTTAGTAAAATCTGCTGCCTGTCAACAAGAAAATTAGAAATGCAGCTGACCCTTGAACAACACAGGTTAGGGGCACTGACCCTCCACACAGTCCAAAATCTGTGTGTAACTTGTGACTACCTAAAACTTAACTATTAATAGCCTACTGTTGACTAGAAGTCTTACTGGTAACAAACAGTTGATTAGCACATATTTTATATGTCATATACTGTATTTTTAAAAGTAAACTAGAAAAGAATGTTGCTAAGAAAATCACAAGGAAGAGAAAATTATTTACTGTTCATTAGGTGGAAGTAGATCATCATAAAGGCCTTCATACATGTCATTTTCACGTTGAGTAGGCTGAGGAGGAAGAGAAGGGGTTGATCTTCCTCAGGGATGCCAGAGGTGAAAAAAAATATAGGTTGAACCCCTGTTGTTCAAAAGGACACTATTAAAATCTGGTGACAAGGCTGCAGTGAGGTATAATCCTGCACTACACTCCAGCCTAGGCAACAGGGAGAGACCCTGCCCCAAAGCAAAAAGACCTGGTGACACACTTTGGCTAATAATTCCTTTGAAGGGCAATGTTGTTTAAAAAAAACATTAATTTGAGCTAACTCTAGATTGATGTGCAGTTATAAAAAATACAGTAGTCCCTCCTTATCCTCAGAGGCTAAGTTCTAAGACTCCCCTCAATGGAGGCCTGAACCCTATATATATGCTTTTTTCTATATGGTTGTCTGTCAATATCTGTGGATGATCTCCTGTGGATGCCACAAATCCATGGATGTGCAAGTCCCTTATATAAAATGATGTAGTATTTGCATGCAATTTATACACATTCTCCTGTACACTTTAAATCATCTCTAGGTTACTTATAATACCAGATGCAATGTAATAGATGCTGCATAAATAGTCATGCTACTGTATTTTACGATTTGTGTTTTTTTAAGTGTATTTGTATTTTTCTATTGTTTTCTTCCTTGGACATTTTCACCTGAGGTTGGTTGAATCTGCAAAGGCAGAACCCACAGATATGTAGGGCTAACTGTACGTACATATCTATAATAAAAGAGAGTGACAAAATAATAATAAAATTGAACAATTAGCACAATACATTGTATTAAAATTTGATTGTTTACTTCTGGAATTTTTCAGTTAGTATTTTTGGACAGTGGTTGACCCTGGGCAAACCATTTAAAGTGGAATTGCAAGTAAGGACTGCTGTAGTCCAGAGAGATCTCTTGTACCCCTTATCTAGTTTCTCTCAGTGACAACATCTTGCAAAACCATATAGAATACATAACACAGTCCATACATTGACATTGATATGTGTAAGTAAGATAATATTTCCATCATCAGAGATTCCCCATATTGCCTTGCAGCCACAACCACTTCCTTCCTACCTCCTCCTTAGCCCCCTGGCAACCACATATTTTTTCTCTATTTCTATAATTTTATCATTTCAAAAATGTTATATCATCAAATCGTGTGGTATATAGCCTTTTTGGATTTTTTTTTTCACTCAGAATAATTCTCTAGTGATTCATCTAGGTTGTTGAATGAATGATAGTTTTGTTCTGTTTTATGGCTGAGTACTATTCCATCATATGGATGAAAGAGTTTAACCATTCACCCTTTGAAGGACATCTCTATTGTTTCCACTTTTTGTCTATTAAGAATAAAGCTTCTGCCAATCACTTGTCTACAGGCAGACCTCAGACATATTGCAGGTTTGGTCACAATTTTTTGTTTTTCCACTGTGTATAAAAATTGTGTTTAGACTATACATATAGTCTGTTATAAAGGGTGCGGTAGCACTATGTCAAACAAATGTATTTTTTTTTTTTTTTTTTAAGACAGAGTTTTGCTCTTGTTGCCCAGGCTGGAGTGGAATGGCACAATCTCGGCTCACTGCAACCTCTGCCTCCCAGGTTCAAGCTATTCTCCTGTCTCAGCCTCCCAAGTAGCTGGGATTACAGGAATGTGCCACCACACCTGGCTAATTTTACATTTTTTGTAGAGAGGGAGTTTCACCATGTTGGCCAGGCTGGTCTTGAACTCCTGACCTCAGGTGATCCACCTGCCTCGGCCTCCCAAAGTGCTGGGATTACAGGTGTGAACTACTACACCTGGCCTCAAATGTACATATCTTAATGAAAAATACTTGATTGCTAAAAAAAATGCTAACTATTATCTGGCTTCAGCGAGTTATGATCCTTTTGCTGGTTGAGGGTCTTGCCTCAACGTTGATGGCTGCTGACATCAGTGTGGTGGTTGCTGAAGGCTGGAGTGGCTGTAGCAATTCCTTGAAATAAGCCAACAACGAAGTTTCTTGTGTTTATTGACTCTTCCTTTCAAGAAAGACTTCTCTGTAACATGAATGCTGTTTGATAGCATTTTATTCACAGAAGAACTTTCAACATTGGAGTCAGTTCTCTCAAACCCTGCTGCTGCTTTACAAGTTTATGCAATATTCTAAATCCTTTGTTGTCATTTCAACACTGCGCTCCAGCCTAGGCGACAGGGAGAACATTTTCACCAGGAGTAGATTCTGCCTCAAGAAACTGCTTTCTTTGCTTGTCCATTAGAAGCAACTCCTAATCTGCTGGTATTTCATTATGAGATTGCAGCAATTCAGTCCTATCTTAAGGCCTCACTTCTAATTCTAGTTGTCTTGCTGTTTCTACCATATCTGCTGTTATTTCCTCCACTGAAGTCTTGAACTCCTCAAAGTCAACCATGAGCATTGTAGTCAAGTTCTTCCAAAGTCCTGTTAATGTTGCTATTTTGACCTCCTCCCATAAATCATGAATATTCTTAACAGCCTTTGGAATGGTGGATCCTTTCCAGAAGGTTTTTGCGTTATTTTGCCCATTTCCATCTGAGGAATCACTATCTATGATAGCTATAGTCTTACACAATGTATTTCTTAAATAATAAGACATGAAAGTTGAAATTACTTCTTGATCCATGGGCTTCAGAATGCATATTGTGGTAGCAGGCATGAAAACATGAATTTCCTTGTACATGTCCATCAGAATGCTTGGGTGGTCAGGTGCATTGTCAATGAGCAGTAGTATTTTGAAAGGAATCTTTTTTTTTTTTTTTTTCCCTGAGCATTAGGTCTCAACAGTGGGCTTAAAATATTTAATAAACGATGCTATGAACAGATGCACTGTCATGCA